AAGAAAAATGTCCCTGGTCTTTGCAGAATGTTTCTCTGTTCAGGCACCCCTTCAATGCTTAGCTAAGCAATTTAATCTTCTGCCTTATCCTCCTCTTATTGCTTGAATTGATCCTGAAGATAAGAACTGGAAGTATAAGGTTTCCTCAGATCTTTCTAAGCATATGTCTATACCTGAGCATACATGTGACCTTCTATGTCTCTAATACATGCAAGAGGTTTTCATATCCCTTATTCCATATATCGTCTTCCCCAGACTCTCTTGCTGGCCAAAACAACCTTGAAAAAATAACAAATTTGGAGGACTCACATTTCCTGATTTTCAAACATACTACAAGTCTGCAGTCATAAAACCAGTATGATACTGGCATAAGGATAAATATATAGATCGATTGAACAGAATTAAGAGTCTAAAAGTAAACCTATACAGCTATGGTCAGTTGATTTTCAAGATGCCAAAATAATTCAAAGGGGCAAAGATAGTCTCTCAACAAGTGGTGCTGAGACAATAGAATAGTTACATAGAATAAAGTTGGGGCAGCCCATGGTGTGGTGGTTAAGAAAGCTGGATCCCACATGGCAAACAGTGCAGTTCAAGTCCCAGACCCAGAGGCTTAGAAAACATGCTGGGTACACATGTGCACAAAATTCTGAGAGGGGAATGGAAGAGAAGGTGATTTTGACATGGTCATCTCCCCCCAACCAGGAGTGTTTTCTCACTTCTCTTCCGTGTCTCTCCAGTGAGTACTCATGCCCTATAGCAAGTTAAAATGAAAGAAAAGAGAAAAAAGTTGAACCTTCACCTTATGCTATATAGAAATTTAACTCAAAATGGACTGAGGACCTAAATATAAGAAGTAAAACTATAAAACTTTAAGGATAAAACAAAGGAATAAATCTTCCTACCTCAGATTTGCCCAGAATTTATTATGACACCAAAAGCACAAATTGCAAAAGGAAAAAATAGATAAATTGGATTTATCAAAATTAAGAATGATAGTAAGAAGAAAAATAGAGAGGCAAGACATTTATGGGACACAAAAATGGACTATTATCTGTTGATGATAACAAGTGTAGTATCCTCAGCTGGACTGGCGTGAACTGCATTTATGTTAGGAGAATTAATTTTACAAGTTAAGTGATGGATAGTGATTGAATGTACAAAAGAAATTAAAATAAAATACATAGAGAGCTAAAAAAAAAAAAAACAGTGAAAATACAACCCACGGAATGGGAGAAAATCTTCGCGAATTATACATCTAATAAGAATTTAGCATCCTGCACATATAAAGAATTTTATAATTCAACAACAGAAGAAAAAGAAAAAAATTTAAAGGATAAAGGACATGAATGGCATTCTTCCAAAGAAAGATATAAATGGCCAACAAACAAATAGAAGATACTCAATGCCATTAATCACTAGGAAAAGCAAACCAAACTAACAATGAAATAACTCTTCATAACCCCTAAGTTGGCTTTTAAAAATGAAAAATGATGAGCAAGCAGGTGGCATGGCGGTTAAGATAACTGGATCCCACTTGGCTGACTAAGAGGTTTGAGTCCAGAACCAGTGGCTTAAAAATCATGCCAAGCATGCGTGAGTGCCCACAATCTCAAAAGGAGACTGGAAGAAGAAGGGATCATAGTGTGGCCACTCTTTAGGGATGATTTATTGTGTACTCTCTCTCTGTTTCTTTCTTTCTGGTGAGTGGACATGCCCAATAGCAAAAGCTAAAAAAAAAAGAAAGAAAAAAAAGTGACAAATACTGGCAAACACATAGAGAAATCACATTTGTACATTGCTTTTGGGAATGTAAAATGGTGTAAATACTGGGTAAACCAATTTGACTGTTACTCATAAGTTAAATAGAAATACCTGGGACCAATAGATGGTGTAATGGTTACGTTGCTGGACTCCCATGCAGTCAATTGTGGTTTAAGTCCTGGGCCTGGTGATTTAAAAAACTCAAGCCAGGTGCATGTGTGTAAATGTCCAAGATTCTGAGAAGAGAATGAATGAGAAGGGATTGGGTGTAGCCATCCCCACTGGGGGGTGATTTCTCGCTTTCTGTCTCTGTCTCACTGGAAAGCGCATGCACCCTATATCAAAAACCTCTCTAAGAAAAAAAAAAAAGTGCCAGGTGACCTAAGGTATATACTCCTAGGTAGGTACCCCCAAAGTTAAAAATAGCTGTTCAAACAAAAACTTGCACCCAAATATTTATAACAGTACTAGTAACAATAGCCAAAAGGTGGATACAACCCAAATATCTACCAACAGATGCACATACAAAGAAAAGTTGGGATAGCCATACAATTAAATATTATTCAGTCATAAATAGGAAGGAAGCACTGGTATAGGCTACAATGTGTATGAACCTTGAAAACATTATGAAAAGCAAAAGGAGTCAGACACAATAGGTAACATATTTTAGAGTTCCATTTATGTGAAATATCCACACTATTCAAATCCATACATACAGAATTAGTTAGTGTTTGCTAGGGGCTGGAGGAGAGGGGAAATGGAAATGATTGTGTAATGACTATATAGTTTTCTTCTGGGGTTCTGAAATGAGGCAGTAATGATGACTTCACATTATGAATGTACTAAATGCCACAGAATTATACAACTCAAATGTTTAAAACAATAAATTTTGTGTTATGTATGCCACAATAAAAAGTATTTTAAAGAAAAAGAGGTAATTTTTACCCAAAGCACAAAAAATAGTAACATAATAATAACATATTATTAACAACATAAGTTAACAATAAAACACATTAAAAGAAAAATACACATTAATCAAAATAGAGAGGAGAGAACAATTTAAATATTTCTCAAACAGAAACCATAGTAGTATGAAAAATATAAATTAAAATAGATTGTGATTACACTAAATATAAATAGATCGTCTTTTCCAGAAAAGTAACATTTGTCAATCTACAAAAAAAGAGCAAAACTCAGGCCAGCAGGTGATGCAGAGATTAAAGTGGCTGGATTCAACATGGCTGACTAGATTGTTTGAGTCCTGGACCCAGTGGTATGAAAAACATGCCAGACATGAGTGTGCAGGCCCAAAATTCTTTTTTTTTTTTTTTTTTGAGAGATTTTCACTGTAGGGCGCGTGCGCTCGCCAGACAGACAGAGAGAGACATAGAGACAGAAAGCGAGAAATCACCCCCCAGGGGGGATGGTCACGCCGCAATCCCTTCTCCTCCATTCTCCTCTCGGGATCTTGGGCACGCACGCACACGCGCCCGGCGTGAGTTTTAAGCCACCGGGACCGGGACACGAACCGCGGTCGACTACGTGGGAGTCCAGCGACATAGCCATTACGCTAACTGCTGGTTCCCCAGGCCCAAAATTCTGAGAGGAGAGTGAAGAAGAAAGGATTATGATGTGGTCATCTCTCCCAGGTGGCAATTTCTGACTTTCCCTTTCTATCTCTCTCTGTCTCTGGCATGTGTCCTATAGGAAAAAAAAAAATTAAAAGAGAAAACTCAACTTTACAATGTTTACTATGGGCACATTGGAAATATACAGCATAAAAGCTTTGAAGTAAAAGAATGGGAGGAAAACTACCATGTAAATCCTAACCCCCCAAAAAACTGATATTAATATCAGGGGAAGTAGATAAGATGTTAAGGTAAAAGATTAAGAGATTAAGAAAACTATATCCTAATGATACATACAAAGTTGTGCTGCTAAATGAATAATGAATGGATCTCTATAGCTCTCTATTGTTTGTAGCATTTGCCGATTTCCATAGAGTAATTATTCCCATTATGGCCAACTTCAGCCTACCAACGTGATGTCATTGACTATAGAATTGGAAACAGATGTACACAATCAGCTTGAAGCCATTCCAAATCAGTTTCAGCCTACCACTACATGGATCAATTTACCGGAAGAAGATAAAGTTAAATATATGTCTCTGATAAGAGTTTAAAAATATATATATATGCATATACATACATATATATATATATATAGTGTGTATATATATATATATATATATATATGCAAAAGCTAATAGATCTTAAAGGATAAAAATTTAATTCTGAATGTCAATTATGTATATGTTTTGCATGAGATTTTACAATACCTTGGGCTATCAAAGGAAGCCAAATCCCATAGAGCAGACCAGGAGTTGAATCCCAGCCACAATGACATCATGCCAGGTACATACACATGCCCAAGATCCTAATGGGATGAAGAATTGAAAGAAAAAGAATTGCAGCAAGACCAGGCCTGTTGAGGGTTCTCCTCTCTCTCTCTTTTCTCTGCTCACATGCGCTATCATGAATAGAAATAATTAAATTTTTAAAAATTGTTTTGCACACATCTTTCAAGAGATGATGAGCAAGCATAAAAAGACTAAGGATAAAGAAGCTCTAACAACTTAAGTAACAAACATGATCTACTTCACCAATTAAGAACACTGTACATAATGGCAGAATACATACTATTTTAAAATTGCATTGAATTGTCCACCATACAATTATTTTAGAAAATGTATCCCATGGTGGCTCATGACAGAAATAAGAGGATTTAGTGACTATCACTTAAAGAAGTTAGCCCTATTGACAAACATTTCTAAGGCCTGTTTTATATCTCTATTTCTCAGGCTGTAGATGAAGGGATTCAGCAAAGGAGTCACGACGGTATAAGCTACAGAAGCAATTATATCCTTGTCATTGGAGTTCCATGATGAAGAGAAAAAGTAAACCCCTGCCAGGGTCCCATAGTACAAAGACACCACACAGAGATGGGAGCCACAAGTAGAAAAGGTTTTAAAGAATCTCTTAGTGGAGGGGACCCTCAGGACTGTGATTCCTATACGGACGTAAGAGCCCAAGATACTACCCAAAAGCAGGATAAAAAACATGCCTCCTTCAGTGAGGATGACCAGCTCATTGAGAGAGTTGTCTGAACAGCTCAGCTTCAAGAGGGCAGTGAGGTCACAGAAGAAGTGAGAGATAGTATTGTTAGCACAGAAGGACAGTTGGACCAAGAGGAGGGTGTGCAACAGGGCATGGGCACAACTGAAAAACCAGGACCCACATACTAATGAGATACACAACTCCTCCCGCATGGCAGTGATGTAGTGCAGGGGGTGGCAAATGGCCACATATCTGTCATATGCCATCACTGCAAGAAGGAAATTGTCAAGACCACCAAAAAATATGAAAAAATACAGTTGAGTGATGCACCCCATATAGGGGATGGATTGTTGTTGAGCCTGCATATTTATCAGCAATTTGGGAACCGTGACAGATGAAAGGGAAATGTCAGAGAAGGCCAAGTGGCTGAGGAAGAAGTACATGGGGGTGTGCAGGCGGGAGTCCAGCCGGATGAGCAGGAGGATGAGCAGGTTCCCGAGCACTGTGGTCAGGTACATGCCCAGGAACAGGGCAAAGAACAGGCCTTGCTGCTCTGGCCGGATGGGGAGTCCCAGGAGGAGGAACTGGGACACACTGCTCCGGTTCTCTGGCCTCATGCTGTTCTTGTCTCTGTGGGGAACTAGGGAAAATGGGAAATGTCAGTGAACATGCCCATAATATTATAGAATGTCCTTTTCAATATGAAAAATTCTTATTTTGCTATACTTCTGTTTACTGTGCATGGATCACAAGAATATCTCACTCTAGCTTCAATGGTGCATCAAACTCTCACATTGTTTAAAAAAAAAAACAGACAGCATTAATTCTTTATTTGATAAGTATTTACTTAACTATAGCTTTGTTCCAGATACTATATTAACTCCCAAGTACTCTACATGAGTGCAGTGAATAAGAAATGCAGAATTACTACATTTCAACAGTTTACATGGTTACATCAAGTTGGACTCAAACCTCAGTAATTTATATGATATAGATATCAGTTATTTCCTTTTCTAAAATGACCTACTGAGCACTATTTATTTAATTCCTTCAGCATAAACTAGCTTCTCTTAGACAACAGAAAGAAAATACTGAGTCTTAACTTATTTGTGGGATGTGAGCTTTTTTATTATATCTTATTTTGTGCATTCAATCAGTATATATCACTTAGCTTGTAAAGTCAGTTTACCCAACATGAATACACTTCAGGCCAGTCCAGTTCAGGATACTATTCACGTTAAACTTTTTAAAGTCAAATGCATAGAAATGTAAAATGAAATGGTGGTAATCAGTTATTTCTTTTAAAAGAAATGTGGAACTCCCTAAATTGGAACAGAATTACTAAAGTTTTGTCACAGGTTTATAGAATAACTGACAGGATCCTACGTGAGTCATTTAAAATTTCCTGTTGGGACCAGCAGATACAGTAATGGTTTCATCGCTGGATTCCCATGTGGCTGACCATGATTCGAGTCCAGACTCAGTGGCTTGAAACTCAATGCTGGGCACATGTGCGTGCCTAAAATCCTAAGAGGAGAATGGAGGAGAGGGGATTGTAATGTGGCCATACCCCGTGAGGGGTGATTTCTCGCCTTCTGTCTCTCTGTCTCTTTATTTCCAGAGAGTGCATGCGCCCTGTAGCAAAAACCTCTCTAAAAAGAAAAAAAATCCTAACACCAAACGTGTCCAGTCCAGGTTTCCAAAACAACATTATCTAATAGTGCCAAGTACTATTCCATGTATTTTATATGCATATTCTAATTAAATTCTTATCATAGCTCTAATAGATTAATATTATTGTACTCATTTTAGCAATGAGAAAACAAAACATAGAGTATTTAAGTTTACAATTAACTGTGACAGACGAAATCACTAGACATCTCTACCTGTTAAGAATATGCTCTTGGACCAGCAGTTGGTGTAATGGCTATGTCACTGGACTCCTATTAGTCGACCGCAGTTCGCATTCCAGACCTGGTGGCTTAAACTCACATCAGGCATGTGTGTGTGTGTGTGTGCCCAAAATCCCAAGAGGAGAATGGAGGAGAAGGGATTGTGGTGTGGCCATCCCTCCGGTGGGGTGATTTCTCATTTCTGTCTCTCTGTCTCTTTCTGGCGAGCACACGTGCCTATAGCAAAGACCTCTCAAAAAAAAAAAATCTGTGCTCTTAATGACTCTGAACAGAAATCATATCCATCATTAGAATATAAAAAGAAGTTACATTTTGTCCACTAATATGCACTGTGTCAGTGCTCACTGGGAAACCAGAAGAAAACCGAAAGGCCAGAACCAGCCTGATCTAGGTAGGACCTTGTGGAGGAGGCACTAGTAGAAAAGATTTTAAGGTACAAGGGTCACATAAAGGAGGTCAGGCTATGTGAGAGGGAGCCTTTGAATGCCGTGTGCCTGAAATAGTGCCGACTTTGTAATCACTGGCTTATTTATTTCTCAAAACATCATTATAAAGTTGGCATAGGAGGTCAGATGGTGGCACAGTAGTCACACAATGCACTGCATGGTGAGCCCACGTGGGAAAACCCAGGTTTGCATTTTGCAGCCTCCCTGTGTGTATCGGGCACACACACATGCCCGTGACCCAGGCTGGTGGAGGCTGGAGGTGGACCAGGCATAAGGCTCCTGTTGGTTCTCTTTCTCAGAAGAAGTAAATAAATAAGCTTTTAAGAGATAATCATAAAGTAAGAATAGTTACCTCTCCTTTACTAGTGATAAAAATGAATCTCAAAGAGCTGAGAAGTCACTCCCCAAGTTCACAAAAATGTGTAAGAACTAGACAGTGGGTTGGGTCCGAGGATGGCTTACTACAGACACTGAGCCCCTAGCCATTAGATAAGAGCTGCCCAGTGGTGAAAACGTATCCACTTGACTGCCCAGTGCAGAAATACAACCACTGTTAAAAGACAGTTAAGGAGGAACCAGCAATTAGCGTAATGGCTATGTCGCTGGACTCCCACGTAGTCGACCGCGGTTTGCGTCCTGGACCCAGTGGCTTAAAACTCACGCCAGGCACGTGTGCGTGCGTGCCCAAGATCCCGAGAGGAGAATGGAGGAGAAGGGATTGCGGCGTGACCATCTCCCCTGGGGGGTGATTTCTCGCTTTCTGTCTCTATGTCTCTCTCTGTCTGTCTGGTGAGCACACATGCCTTATAGCAAAAACCTCTCCAAAAAAAAAAAAAAGACAGTTAAGAAAACATTTGACTTCATAGAGGCCAACCAGAAGTTTCTAAAACACATACACATATGTATACACACAGAGATGTACACACTTAAATTGCTTAATATGATTTCTTGCATCCTGCGCCTATAATAATCTTAAAAGGACAATAACTGTTTGGTTAGTTATCCAAGTCATAAAAACAAAACACAAGTTTTGATACATAATGCACAAATAACCCACACAATCATGCCAAACACTTGTACAGTGTAAACACAAGTGTAACACAAACAGCAACATAAAAATTATGTATCAGATGTGTAAACTCATACTCTGAATATAGACTTACAATTAAACACACATACTAAACAGTAAAAACACACAAGATCAAACACCTAATACAAACACATATCAATTACACACATATTGCTCTTATCAGTCAGGCAACACACATGATCACAATCATACATCCGCATCACAGAATGAGGTTCCAGCCCCCCTTGACTTATTCTCAACTTAGATGAAAGCTGGTGAATAACTTGGGCCCTTTTTCAATCACAGGAACCAGCACATAAACATTTGCTACGAGTAAAACTAACAGAAAACATACACACACACACACCCACACACACCCCATTTCTCAAAAGCATGCAATCGCACACGAAAATAATTCATAAACAAAATTCAAGATCACACATACCCACATCACTGTGTAGAGATAGCAAGGCTTCTTTTCTATTGCTGGTCATGAGTAAATTCAGAAAACTGTTCCAGATTGCTCAATACATCTCTCTGTTTTCAGACTTTACAGTCTCACATACTTAACCCATGATGTCTGTCCACAAAGGAATGGGAGAGGTTTAGAAAGAGAGTGGGGCAAATATTTGAGATCAAAGAGACTGATTAAAAGATCCCAAAACATTCACAGAAAAGGCCTACTCTCGCTTAATGTGAGCTTATTTTGAGTTCTAGATCTAGAAGGAAAAGTCGGGCTGACAGTCATTCCATGTTAACACGCAAAACACAAACACAAACAAAGGAAACCCGTGAAGAAAATATACATGTAGCTACATTATACAAGCAAAAAAACACCACACAGAATATATATGGAATGTGCATGGAATACACTGTCTGACTTCTAGACACAGACACACATTCCCAATGAGAATTCCCAACTCACTCTGACCTGTGCCAGTTCTTGATGAGCTCAGGCACTTGCTATTCAGTTTTCTGAGTCTTTAGCTTCCTTTGAGGGTATCAGCAACAAAAAAGTAAAAGGTAAGCTTCTGTGAGCCCAGGGCCTCCTGAGCTTTCTATGCCTGCCTCAAGCTCCAGAGTAATAGGCCAGAAGTCACCATTTTACAAACCACTGAAAGGAGTCAGAAGTCCCTAAGCTCCTGGTTAAAGAAAGAACTGAAGTAGTCTAATTGCTTCCAATTTCTGCCAGACCTTGGGGAGAAGCCTGTGCAGGAGGGACTGAGCGACTGGTCACTTGAGAGAGTGTCCTGAATATCATTGACAACCTGGCCTCCTTTTTTTTAATCATTTCATATTTCTATTTAGAAGCAAGAGTAACTTAATCATCCTCCAACACTTACATGGCTGAGACACTGGATTGGCCTCTCCCAGCAGCTTGCTCCTGGGACCAGAGGATGGTGTAATGGTTATGACGCTGGTCTCCCACGTAATCAACTGCAGTTTGAGTCTCAGACCCACCGGCTTAAAACTCACACCAGTCGCATGTGCATGCATTTCCAAAACCCCCAAAACAAAAATCTCTTAAAAAAAAAAAATGAACACTTCCCAGGAACACTAAAAACAGACAAATAATAGAACAAAAAATGATCAAGAAAAAGGCCAACTTAATGGTAGGAACAAGTTCTGAAATAATAATAGTGTTGAATGTTAACAGAAAGGTCAGAACACAGTAACACTGCAAATTCAATGAAAGAGAGATTACACGAGACTGAACTGGTAAAATAGAATTCTATGACTTTTTAGAAAACATTACTGATTTTCTTCTATGCTTTATCTTCCAGCTTTAAGGATTTTTGTTTTCTTTTGAGTTGTTGGATTCAGCAATTTGTTAAAGAATTTTTAAAATTGAAACATAAACTTTTCTCCCTTTCTGATCCCTTTGCAATTCGAAAATATTTGTGAGCATTCCTATTTTGTAGCAGAATGGTTAATTGCATAGATACAATAGTATCTATTGCCTTGCATCAGAAATTAAATTATTGGGACCAGCAGTTAGTGTAATGGCTATGTCGCTGGACTCCCATGTAGTCAACCACAGTTCGCGTCCCCAACACTCCTGAGGGGTGATTTCTTGCTTTCTGTCTCTCTGTCTCTCTCTGTCTGTCTGGCGAGCGCATGTGCCCTATAGAAAAAAAAAAACTCTCCAAAAAAAGAAAAAAACAAATAAAAGAAATTAAATTATTATG